TGGACATATTTCTAGCTATTTGAAGAGCCCAATGCCATAATACACAGCCACACACACGCATATAAATACGCAGAGCTGTCTTAATTATTATGTAACTGCATTAGGTTTGTGACAAATGACAAATTGCTCAAGCCTGCTGCGCTGTTATCGTGTCATAAATATATATGTATACATTCATATGTATTGTGTTTAGCCACATGTATTGCCTGGTTGGAGCACTGCCCCGTATTTAAATACCCTTGTGAGTATATTGTGATCTTGTAATGAACTTTGTAACGCATCTACGAGCATATAATATTTATACTTGATCAGCTTTAACAGTTAAGGCTAAATAACTATTTTTGAGAACTGGTCTCTCCTGTCTCTAAAATTGCATCAGTCTGTCTTTTGTCGGAGCATTTTATTATAGGGCTGCAAACTAACTAAACTAAAAAGATAGGTCGAATATTGAGTTCTCATATGCAAAAATTTCTTGTATATCATTATTATCTGACCGAAATTTGCATATATGCTTTTTATAATTTTTCCTACATGTGTAGAAAAACTTGTAGCCAAAAAGTTTGAACGAGTACCAATCCGAAAGAATATTTGCTTTCAACATATCTTTAGCAAGCTTGGCATAAAGGATATCTTATAAAAAGCGGAAATATGTATATATATATAGTTGATAAAAGTTTAATGGGAAGAATCGATCGAAAAATGTAGTTATCTTGACCAATTTCTACAATTTATAACTGTGGAATTCTTCTCCGCTCCAGTCCTCGAGGGTATCAATTCTTCGGCGTGTCAAACAAATCGATTCGTCCTCGTTGACACAATATAAGTGCCACGCCCACGAGTAGCAGCAGGCGCCACCTAACAAATAAACAGCCCTTAAGTTAAACTTTTCGATATAAGCTCCGAAAAATTACCCAACACTTTGGCATAGGTCATTTATCATTAAAAATAGCCGCTGCTGCCCGGCCACAATGCGTAATTATTGGGGTCTAGAGTAAACGGGCAGCGGAAAGCGGGACTCGAAGAAGCAGGTGAATGATTGAATGTGTTTCATCAAATATGTAATATGAATTATAATTTTTGTACATATACACGTCTGTGGCAGCCGCATTTAACCCATGCCCCATGTCATATCGGGTGTAACGGCAAATATCGCGTGTCTAGGGAAAATCCAACATTTTGTTGCAAGGTGGTAGCACTACTGTGGGGCAGCCAGGAGTGGTGGTGGAAGGGGGGCTATACGACGACAGTGGCAACAATCAACGACGAGCGAGCGACAACAAAATGAGCTATAGAGCGCGCGCCAGAAGTGCCGATTTGAGGTTTGACTTATAACGGCAATATACACACACGCACACACATGTGTCGCCTGACTCATATGCATCTGTGTGTGTGTGTGTGTTTGTGTGTGTGTGAGTGTGCACACTCCTCCCCAGGAACTGGGGCATAACACACACTCGACGCGGCATAAATTAAAATTTTGTTGTGCGCCTCAGTTCTCAGTGCTCGTCATTTCACAGCTCCGCATGTGAAACACGCACAGCGCAACAGCGTGCAAGCGAGATGGACGGCGTGGGTGTGTGTTGGTGTGCGTGTGTGTGTGTGTAAAAATGCTCCAATTTTATTGCCCCACTCGAGTCACGTTATGATTATGATTCGCTAGCCAAACAAACCGAAAGCTAACGCTATTCATTTGCTAATCAAAACAAATGAAAACAACATAAATTATGGGCAAAAGGACGCGGCGGCTAATAAGGGTTAAAGCCGCAGAATTCAACATCTAACATTTACAAAAATGCTCCAAATGCTTCAAATGCGCGTGTGTGTGTGTGTGTGTGCGTGTGCCGCAATTTTAATGGCATCCTTCAAATGTGGTTTTTGCCCTACACACAAAAATATGCGACATGCGTAATTAGAATATATGGAACGCTGAGTTTTTAGCTCCATTTGCCCCACCTCCCTCGGGTACAGAGAAAGAACTCTCTAGGTTTTTTTTTTTTGGGTGGGTCTGAAACTATTTTAGACGGGGCCACGCTCTTTGCCATTTTCAAGCTCGGCCGTTTGATAATTAATGAAGTCATAGTGCGGCGTATGTCTAAAGTTAAATTCTGTGCTATCACGCAATTGCTAGACGCTACTCGGTTTGTGTCTAGGCTAACGCCACGCCCACATTTTCGCAAGTTTTTATGTTGTCGTAAAAATATTTTTATGATTTCATAATTTTACAGTTTTGGTTGTGGAGAATCAGTTCTTTATAGCCTCGCATACCCCAAACTTGCGCAAATATCTGGCGCTGTGCACCCTGTAGCCATAAAATGTATAGAAAGGGTAGCACAATGTTGTGCACAGGTTCGTTCATACAAGATGTGCCCTTAAACGATAACCATTTTGATTCGTGAGGCTCTTCATTTGATGCAGCAATTAGAATTCGCATAACTTTATTATTATTATTGTTTATTTATTATTGTTGTTGGTTCCCCAAAAAAAATGTCTGCTTCTAATGCACTTTAAAAAATATATTTAATGTCCTATATATTTCAAAAATATTTACTAGCCATTTCATGTACAATTTTTGTTAAAAATTCATGCGAGATATTACTATATTCATGCTTTCATAATTCTTATGCAATTCAAAACAAAGATATCGTGTCAAAAAGCGTCAGACCATTATTTACACTAATCTTTGTGTATTTTTTTATTAATTGTGTTAAATCTAACTTATGTAAATGATTCAATCTTGATCTAAATAGTGTGAATTGATCTTAAATAACTCAATGATATCGTAATGTTTATACTCTTCTCTTTTGATCTAAAACAATTGCAGGGTATTTTGAAGTGCAGCACACTCAACTAGCGCTTTAGTTATGGCTCTTGTTGCTGTTTGTTGGGCACGGGCTTGATTTTTGTACACTTGTAGAGGGTGTTTTAATTTTTTCATTTTTGTTGAGACACATTCGATCACATAAGGGAGTATATATCATTATATCGAGACGATAGAGGGATGTACAAACTTGTCTCTCAGCTGTAAAGTTGACTTCACTGCTGTGCAGTTCTCAAATGTCTACAAGGGTATTTAATCTTCGGCTTGCCCCTCCTCTTTCTATTTTTTACTGCTTGTAGCTTTCTTAGTTGGTTCTACAAGTTGCAGATTTGAGGCACACGAAGCAGTTGGAACGCTGGCTTATCTGAAAGTTGGCTCGCAGCGCAGCGTGTATTTCGAAATTTATGCAAAATCATATTTTTCAAATGGAAAAAAAATAAATATAAAAAGAAGAAAAAGTTGCTGTGTTGTACACGGCAAGCCGAAATGGAATCACAGCGGGCCGCTTCAATTTTGCTTCTATTTAAACAAGGCGCACACCGGGCCAACAACTCGTCGGCTCGATGGGGGCACAACACACGCTGTGCACGGGTGTGCGTGTGTGTATTTGTTCAAGGCCTGGTCTACCTCTTGGCAAAAGGGAACAACAAGCACGTTAAAAGCGACAACGACAGAAAGGACAACGCGTGCACAGCTTGAAAAATGTTTGTTGTCAACATTTTGAGTTTGCATCGTTAGCTTAAAAGTGTGCGTGTGTGTGTGTGTGTGTGTGTCTGTGTTCGCTTACAATGGGCAAAAATCGATAAATGAGACAATGTCCGTGATTTTGGCATACAAAGAAGTTGCGTGTGAGCCACAGGAATTTAATGTTATATTCTGAGAAATGTCTTTAATAAGCTGGCGGCATTTGTTTTCATGCGGTTAACAGCCCAAAAAGCTGATATTAAATATTTTAAGAGACAAATTGAAAATATATAAAATCTTTGCTTTTAGATATTTACTATAAATATGAGACGTTTATTCCAAACTATTTTTGGACCCAAATCAAATGCTTAAAAACACAGCTGAACCCAAGCCCAAACCGAACTATGTATATCTTTATTAATTTAAAAATAGTTTGGTTAAAAATAACAAGTTTTTATGGTAGTTAAATAAAGACCTAACCCCTTGCATGGATCTGCCCAGTTCTGACAGAGTGAACTTTATTTTAATATTATTAGTAGAATTCCAGAAATGTTGTAACTAAGTTTTGAACTGAAGTTTATGAATCATGTCGGGAAACGAGGCCAGGAATTTTTTCGTACGTGCCTCATTTCTAATTTATCTGTCTTAAATAAACGCTATATTCAAAGTGAAATAAAAATAGCCACCGTCATTAAGAACCGATTTATTCTATTCTATTTGTAAATAACCATTTATTTTATCGCTATTTCTGTTATCGATTTGCCATAACAACTGCTGCAATAACATCGTGTGCCTCGCAGCACACAAAATTGAAATGTAAATAAATAAAAGTATCACCTACAGAAAACTCTTCCACGAAACGTCGACAACTCGCACCCCGAACTTGCAGAGCAATTGCCTCGCGTTTGCGCCACAATTTCGGGCGCACACCCACGCAAAGGCAAAGTTATGGCAAACTCTTGCAATTAAACTGTCAGACTTATGAATTCATTAAATATTTAAACTGTAGATTTTGAATAATTAAAATTCCATTTATACATGCATATACATACATATAGCCGCAGCAACAAATACGCCCTGCCACAAAACTCTGGCTATAAATCTGCGATTAATTAAAAAGACTTGTACCGCCTGGGCTGCCGGCTCGTATACGTAATGGCAATATGACTTAATTACAGAAACATAACCAAAACCCAATACCAGAACGCTTCTATTGTTCGTGTTTTCCTTTGTTTTTTTTTTTTTGTTGTTAACTCTTTTTTTTTTGCCAACTTTTAAAAGCTAACTCTTTCGACCCACTCGCTTTCCATTGAACTATTGTCTGGCAACGCTGTAAATTTATGCAAATCACAGCGCTTAAGGTGTAGCGAACCGTGCAGAATGTAGTGCTTTGGCTTTTGTTGTCGCACGATGAATGTTTCCCTTTATTTATTTACTCGTTTTTCCTTCTGCTACCTATAAGTTGGGCGTGCTCGCATTTTGAATGGCACTCACTCACCTGGATCGTCGTCGTCGTCCCAATCGATTTGACCGGAAGCAATATTGATGTGTGCTGCCAAGAGCAGCAGCAGCAATGTGAATAGCGCCAAATATTGGCGTTGCCAGACGTTGCCGTAGGAAGTTGTTATGTGCATTGTCAAGGAAGTAGTTGCCGTATCGGTTGTGCGGAAGCGCGAATTTGTTCTAGTTCTAGACGTTGCCTTGGAACGCAGCTAATGCATTTCTCCTGAATAATACAATTTATGCGAATACGCACTTGTCGTGTATATCTTTTTTGCGATTCGTTACACGTTGTTCCTTTTTTTTTTTTTTTTTATTAGTATTTTTTTAATTTTAACACACACACCGCAACACTAACGAGCGCGCGTGAGAACAAAAGTTGCGCTTGAGGGGGAGCGCGTGGCTTGGGCTCAGTATTTGGCCGGGCCCTGGCTGCAACTGCAGCAGCCCTATTTGGCCTTAAACATGCTCGCTAACACTAATGAAGCGAAATGAGCAAATATTTCTTAAAATTCGCTGCAATGTGGCGCCCTCCACAGCCGCAGGCGCGCTCCTTGAACTGGCTGGCTGCAATGTACACGGCTTTTTGCTCGACAACAACTAATTAAGTTGTTTCATGTACACTTTTTTTTTGTGCCCTGAGCACAAGTTTTGTGCTTTTGGAGTTGTTGCCGCAGCAGCGTATTGAGGTGTTGCATTGTTCAGTTGCATTCACAGTTCGCAAGTAATCCTGCCAGCAGCTGCTGTAAAGAGAGAAAGAGTTGAAAACGTAAGAGTTAATTATGATTTGCTTTTATATAAAAAAAGACGAATAGAAAAAAGAAAGGCTAGAAACGAAACGCAGCGAAACTAAATAAAACCATTCTTAAGTGCATTAACAAATTAACTGATTCTCAGCTGCCAGCCCTAGATTGAGTGGTTCGCATGTTTTTCATTCACGGCTAAAACTCTGACGTTGCAATTCATTCAATTAGATACACACGTATTTGAGTAAAGGCTAAATGTAATCAGTACTTTGACAGGGCAACGTTTTTATGCAATTGCGAATACTTCGCATTTCCACTTAATTACTTCTAGTTTTTTTTTTATAATAATGCGAGGGAAATAAGATATCCTTTGCACTGATCAATTTATATACAAGAGTCCGTCTAGGCAGACTGATTGACTAATTTGGGAGCACAGCTCAAACCTTAAGAGTTTTCGTAAAAATTTCATTGTACAGACAGACTGATTGACTGTGTAATTAATGAGTGCAATACTTAATAGCTTCAATAAAACCTGCATCTTCTTTTTTGGAAAATTCAACATCCAAGTGGGCAAAACAGTGCTTTATTTTCTATGTAAAACATCAACAACAACACGGTCATAAAAATATATTTTGAGCATCGAACTGACAAGTGCAACGTCGTGAAATATTGTCCAACTTTATGAGCTATAATGAGATTTTTATCTATGCATTTACAGCAATTAGTTTTTAGCTAATGTGGCTTATAAATATATTATAAATGTTAGTTTGTTTGGTAAAATGTATTTGAAAAGTTTAAGGCAACATGAAATTAGAATTTAATTTAAAAAGTTTTTGCCAACAACTTTTTTAAAAAAACTCTCCTATAACAGCTTACTATGGTGCAATCTGAATCCAGCCATATATACAGATATATTTATATATTACATATGCAGTAGATAAAGTGTGTATACCAATTCAATATACAGTAACCGGAGTTGAATTGTTTTGCCTTTAAAAGTCTTAACAACTTCTTAACACATCTGTTAAATACAGTATTAAAAGAGTTTAATCAACTATCATGCTTATCATGACCAAATATACTTGACTCTTATTGTTAGCTGTCTGTAAGCTCTTCCTAATTGCACGCTGAACTACTTGTTAACGAAACGGATATAAGTTTCACTTTTCGAAGCACAAGCAAATACCCAACGATACGCTTTTGTAGGGCTCTCAGTCAGTCGGTCGCTTCTTAAAGCTCCCTGAACAAAGCGTGCCAGCAAGTGTTGCCTACTTTTTTGGGTGGAATTGAGAGACAGCACGCCATATGCACGCCCCAACACCCACTATCTGCAGTGACTAATTTGCCGTAGTTTCGGCGGCTCTCAGCCGCTGCCTGCCTTATTATGCGCACTTCAAACTTTAGACAACGCGGCAGCAGCAGCAGCGGCAGCAGCAGCAGCAGCAACAACAATAACAACGCGGCTCGCAATCCGCCACAGTGTTGTTCATTTTTGGCTAGCTTCGAGCACCGTGCCGTGCAACGCCGCACTGCCCGCCAGCCCTTGGCTTGGCTGATTTTTAATGCAGGCAGCCACTCACTCAAATTTTCGAGTGCGCCAATGCCGCTGCAGCAAAATGTTGTATAGTTTTCGTTTAATTTGATGCCATTGTTCTTGTTGTTGTTGTTGTTGCCTCCAGCGAAACTGTGTCGCTAAAGTTTCACGTCGGAATGGCTGATTTGACGAAGTACAAGTGAATACAAAAAATTAAGCGCCCACCCACCCCCTAACAAACCTTCAAACAGAAAAAAAGATGAGTGATATAGTCCCGACTGCCCGACCAGGAGATACTCTGAAGACAGCGTGGAGCTGACATTCTTATTTTTTTTCCATACAAGCATGCACGTGGGTTCTGGTCTGCTTCTTCTTTCCTTATGCACACGCTATTGGAATTACATTCTTAGGCAACTTCGGATCTTAATGAAATTTTCAGGGCTTAAAAATGACATTCTAAAGTATGTATATACTAAAATCAAAATCTTTATAATAAAGTTTTTTCACTTATATTTTGATGGAGGGTAGGCCTTGAGGGGGCTTTATACATACATATATTAAATATCAAGACTCTAGCATTTGGAGCTCGCAACCTCTATGCGTTCACATAAGAGAGCAAACGGATATAGCTCTAATCGAGAACATGTCTACTTTATGGGATTGTATATGCTTCCTGCTGCCTGTTATATGCACATAAACCCTTTTGCCCATTTCATTGAGGGTATAAAAAAGAAAATGGTGGGGGGTGAAAAAAAGTTGTCTGCCAAAATCAGCGCCACTTTTGCCACAGACATTAAGCGTTGCATGCAAAATTACCAGCGAGTGGTTTGTATTTCCACTCTGATTGTTGTTTAACATGGTTACATTGTCCTTGCAACTGAATCCTGTTCGGCAGTTATTTTAGTTGTACTTGCAACGGTGCATCCATGTGGTTGCTGCTCCTCCTGCTCCTGCTGCTGCTACTCTGATTCTAGCCCTTGCCTGTGGCTGTGGTTATGCATCATGTCATGCTCTAGTTGCAAAACTTTTGCTGTTTCGTATTTTTTTTTTAGCATTTTTTATCGCTTTATTTATATGCATATGGGACAAGTGGCATAAAAAAGTGCAACAAGCAGCTAACTATACATAAATTTGTTTTATGCACAACATAAACTTTTGCACATTTGTTGCCAAAAAAAAAAAAAAAAAACGTGGAAAAAAAGTGAAAAACGTAAAACGTATATTCTAAAATATAAAAGCTCAGCTAGTAAACAGGACCTTTTGTTGTGCACCTGCAGCATCAACTAATTTGTGCTTAGACAAAGCCAAACGAAGTGAGCAAACTTTTGCAGCTTAACTGTTGGGCTGATGCAGCATGCAGCATGCTACACATGTAACTAGCTGTAGGTTACTTCATCCACATTTTACGCTCGACTTGGCCAAACCAAGCTAGAAGAAATGGCTGCTGCTGCCTTCTGCGTTGCCAGGCACGCAGTAAAAATGTATGCCCCATGCCCGCATACCACATGGCCCATGCCAGGTGGCCGGGCTGTGCGTCTAACTGTTTGCCGCACCTGGCCAAAAACTCTGCCGACAAAATAAACTCTACTCAACTGTTGAAAATCAACTGGCGACCCCAGAGCGCACACCGTCCCGTATACGTGGTCCACAAAAGTTTGCAATCAATTTTTGCTCAATTTTTATTTTTTCTTCACCATTCGACCACCGCAAATACTTGGGAAACATATTGAGCGGTGCAGACGTAAACTTATTCGCACAACCTATGTAATAGATCAAGTACAAATAACGTGGCAGAATGGACTTGAATTAAGTTCTGCTGAACTAAATTTACTGGCACTATAAGCCTTACCCTATTTAATATGGCGAAGCGCTTGGTTTTCAGTTTAGCTTTGTATATTAAACAACATCAAATTGACTGTCAATTCAGTTTTGTGATAAACAAACATTTTCCCTTACTTATATCAAATTTCTTAGATTTTTAATTATAAAACCAAGGATTAGGTCCCTTTGTTTTCTTCTTCGATTGCTCAACACTCTTCGAACCACTGTGCACTGTATACATACATATATTTTTATTTGTTATATGCTCATACAATACACGTATACTAACTAAAATACTTTATATATGAACTGCTTTTAGCCAGCTGCCGTCTTAGTTTTCTTTAATTGAATCTCGGTAATCAGTTAAATAGATCTGCCAAGTTTTGAATGCTGGATATTTACATAAGTTCTCTACCTTTGCTAGCTTTGGGCCAGGCTCGTTGCCCATTTGCAGCCGCCGCAACGTCTGCTTTGTTGCTTTGTCTGCTCGTGCATATATATAAACATGTATAAGTAAATACTTGGCTGTGTGCGGATGTGCGTGTGTGTTTTGGCCAACAGTTGCCGCAGCCCAGTTTCCATTTCGTGCTGCTATTTTGCCAGCAAGTTAAAGTGTTTCGCCACGCACTCCAATAAAAACATCTGCACGCACACACACACACACACATCCAGAGCGAGCCAGGACTATGCCAAGCTAAACCATTTGAGTGGTGCCACGTTGTTTGTTGTGCCAGTTTCGTGACGAGCAACTCTTGCGTTACGCATACGCTGCGTGGGCCCGTCGATGGTGGCACGGATTGCCAGACACTCTAACCGGGAGCTGTGGCTTGGCCGCTGCTCTTGGACATTTATTATGTTTATCTAGCATTCAATTTGGCTGGCCAACCTGTTTACCAGCGTTTGCATCAATGTTTGCCGCCCGTCTGTGCCCGTGCGGCATATGCTCAAGTGTTTAATAGCTGAATACCAAGTGGCGGCTGTCATCAGCAGCTGCTCAGGCTCAATAAAATGTACGGCATGCAGCGCAGCCGTTGTCCATATATTTATATATTAGGCCATTTGTTACACTTCACTGGCTGTGTGGGGTTTTAATAAATATTAATTGCATTAATTCAATGCTAATTAAAAACCGATAACAAATCCAAGCGTGCACAAAGCAAATGCCGCCTACACTCAAAGCTATCTAAGGCCAACGCGGAAGTGTGCGTGCTTTTGTGTGTGCGTGTGTATCTCTTTCAAGTCCAGGCGACGCATAAAAATAACTCATACCCCAAAATGGAATGATATAGGGGGTTTTACGCAGTGTCAGGGCAAAATATGTCAACGTTACTTAAATTTGAACATTAACATAGCATTTGCTATGCCCAACCAAGCGAGCCCTTTGTGCCGACGCAACCTGCCCCCGCGCACAGGTGTCAATTTTGTTGCCAGCGTCGGGTAATTGCCGTCAGCTTCTTGTTGCCATTACAATTCTTGTTGTGCAGGACAATTTGCGAATGTGTGCGAGTGTGTTCAAGTATCGCATTTAGTTGCACGGTCTCTGGCTGTGGGGGTGAAACAGAAGGAAGAAACCGTGAAAGTACACAGTGAAAAGATCAGGGTAAACAAAATCTATAGGTTTTCCCTTAAATCAAAGATT